TTACTTTTGTGCAATTTATTACGGGACATCCTGTACATTAAATAAAAAAGTCGTTGACATTGGGAACCGATGTCGTAAATATATGACATTGAGAAAATTGCCGTTTTCCAGATAAAAAATTTTATTTTATTTTTATGATAATTATTTCAATTATTAATACTATTTGGATAGTTTTCATATGAATTCACGATAAAAATAATTCCCGGGCCCCAGGAGGATAATGCGAACAGCTAGGGACTGGAATTCGCTGCCCGCTGCTGTCGTTCCCGAAGAATATAATCCGGGCCTTTTCAAGGCGAGAGTGAATAGGCACTTACAGGGCAGATAAGTCCTAGTAACCATCCTAGACTGCATCCCATTTAACATCAGGTGCGATTGTGGTCAAATACCTACCTTGTTATGCATAAAAAAAGATCGTCACTGTTTTCCTCACAGTTCGCTTCCGAGTCCTGCATCCGAGTAGTGCAGTATCTTTTGGGGGCGATATGTTTTACATCTTGTACGCTTAGGATGTATTTGAACCATACATAAACAATCAGACAGTTAGTTCACTGTTTACGTTTACAATAATATCTGACCTACAAACGTCGTAGCACTGCAGGCGCGATGCGGGGTGCACCGGTTCGTGATTGGTTCTAAAATCACTCTGAACACGTCACTAGTAAATAACCATAGATAAAAAACTCTTAGGCAATTTTTTTAAGAAAAATATTATAACTTTTTTGGTTGGAAAATGAAATACGATTCATTTTTGCAAGAAACGGCAAAGGCATATCCACCACACAGCTAAGTCTTTTTAACAAGTCAAAAATAAATATATTTTTTTTCTTATTTCTTAAAAGCTGTGCTCAATATTGTACGACTAATTGATGAATGTATACGGTGCTATACTATTTTTAATTACAATGCACTTAAATCACTTACATATACTTCGGTAATCACAAAAAACCCAATAAATAAACACAAACTTGTTGTAGAGTCGCAATTTTTTCCAAATACCAACAAATATACCCAAAAACAGCCACAGAGCAGAGAAGAGAGAATAGAAAGAAGAGAATATAAATAAAATAAACAAATGACGGACGAAACCATGGATACCATCTCCAAAGAGATGTCCAGCATCCTCAAGAAGCCGGTGAACGATTTGAAGCCGCTGAAGAAACGGCACTCAGTCGTGTCGGGCAGAAGCGAGTTTTGTAAGTCTGTCTGGTACTCTTTAAAATGATCCTTTTTCATGGTAAATGAGAGATAGGTATGGTTCTAATGATGATTAGGCATTCTGGCTTGTCCTAGGCGAATCCTCAACACAAAACAACTGCCCTTTTTCGTCAGGAATGGTTTATGTGAGGTTCTCCCTGCCAGATGGGCATGGCCTACTCACTAAAACCTAAAGGTGTGCTCCAAAGTCTTTGGGATGGAACTGCGAGTTATTGTCCCTAAACGGCCTAGACATTACAGAGGAATTGCCTATCTTATCTCGTTATGTTTTCTTATTTACTTGCTACGTTTACTTCCTTTACTTATTTGGCTACGTTTTGGTTCCGCTTCTTCGTATCTATACTTCTATACTAATATTATAAAGCTGAAGAGTTTGTCTGTTTGTTTGTTTACTTGAACGCGCTAATCTCAGAAACTACCGGTCCGATTTGAAAAATTATTTCAGTGTTAGATAGCCCATATATCGAGGAAGGCTATAGGCTATATACCATCACGCTACGAGTAATAGGTGCAGAGCAAAAATGAAAAATGTTGCGAAAACCGGTTTTCACGCGTACGAAGTCGCGAGTCGCGGGCACAGCTAGTTCCATTATAATTTCGTAGGCCATTCGAGGCGCATCATAGAGTTACTGAGATCTAAGATCTATCAACTTTGTTCCACTTAAGATGGCGAATAAAAAGGAGCTGCTCATAAAATCTGTTATTTTACTTTAAATACCTGTTTGCTACCTTGATTCGTCACCCATTCCAATATTATGAAGTTTTATTACAAAACAATGCAGCGTGAAGGCAAACCGATACGAATTGGTGTAGCAAGTAGAATCAATTACAATTTATTTCACATATACTTGACATGCTCCTTGCGGGTCTGACGCAGAAAGTGCACTTCGCCAAATGTGCACTTTTCTATACAAACAAATTCTTCAGCAGCCCTTAACATTTGTATAGAAAAGTACGTATTTTGCGAAGTGCACATTTTGCGTTACACCCGTCCTTGCGAGTTCCTTGCGAGCAGCAGGTAGCTGTGACCAGTAGTAGTCTTAGCCTTAACCAACCTTTCGTTACCTGACTTAGATCCTTAAAACGTGCTCCATAGAGATCAAAACGACCTGTGCAAATGTTCTTCAGTTAGTACTCCATTCAATTAATCGTTCGTTCGTTTCAGCCGAATGACGTCCACTGCTGGACAAAGGCCTCCTCCAAGGTTTTCCACAATGAACGGTCCTGCGCTGCCCGCATCCAGGCTCTTCCCGCGACCTTCACCAGATCATCGGTCCACCCAGTAGGAGGCCTGCCCACGCTACGTCTTCCAGCCCGTGGTCGCCACTCGATTACTATTCACTATTCTGCCCCAACGGCCATCGTCTCTACGAGCTATGTGCCCCGCCCACTGCCACTTGATTTTAGCAATTCTGCGAGCTATGTCGGTCACTTTGGTTCTCCTGCGAATCTCCTTATTTCTGATTCGATCATGCAGGGAACCTCCGAACATAGCCCGCTCCATCACCCTTTGGGTGACCTTGAGCCTTCTTATGAGGCCCATAGTAAGCGACCACGTTTCAGATCCGTATATCAATGAATCGACTCAGTAATAAAGTTACGTAACGCACTGGACGACGAGGCTATTTTAGAAATGAGGTCGGACAATAAATCTGTGCGTCCATAAAGTATCTGTCTGTATACATCGTAAGACGTAAACAGTGAATACAGATAACTCGCGTTTCCATTCCACGACGAACCGTTAAAATCAAAATCGTACAAAAACTTAAAAAACTTGTTATACAGGATTACTACTCGACTCGAAACTCAAAACGAGACCCACCAAAAAACATCTAGCGGCGGCCCGCGACTTCGTACCCGTGGATCCCGTTTTACCCCCTTAGGGGTGGAGTTTCGTAAAATCCTTTCTTAGCGGATGCCTACGTCATAACACCTACCTGCATGCTTTTAAGCCCGATCCGTCCAGTGGTTTGGGCTGTGCGTTGATAGATCACTGTCAGTCAGTCAGTCACCTTTGAGTGATAGATATTTAGGTATTGCCAAGGCGAACCGTGTGTATCTTATAAAGGTAGCAGAAAGGCGCTGGATGCAGGCCGCTACTAACCGGGCGATGTGGAAATCATTGTTCCTATTTTCAGCAGTGAACGTCCTGTGGCTGAAATGATGATGATGGAGGACGAACTGTGCTGCTCACACTGTGAAAACGTTATCAGAACCCATGTAGAGCCAAGTTTTTAAACTCGAAAGTCCACAATATTAATAAAAAAGTCACCTCTGTTCACCTAGGTCCTGCTGGGTGAATCAATTCCTAGGTGAACAGAGGCGACTGCTTTAGTCAAATCATTTTACCTGGATGAAATAGTTCTGAGGTGAAATGAGGAGACTAAAAACTCCATTTTCTTCATATAGATTCACATTCATTCACAGTTAATTCATAATGGTGCTCCGAACATGCGTACCAATTTTCAGCTGTATGCGAATTAATGCAGGGTTCATGTCTAATTTGACTGGACTAATGATTGTGAACAATGACGATTTGTAAGAACTATTTATTAGTCCAAACAAATAAAGAAATTTTGACTTTGACTTTGACTTTGATTCGAAAAATATGGAGTTTTTGTGTGTCCTTATTTCACCTCAGAACTATTTTACCCAGGAGAACAAAGTGGAATTTGTGCCGGACGGTATGGGGTTGCCTTGATACCGTACGCCGACACGGCGCGATGCGGGGTGCAGCGCGAGCGGGAGAGCGAGACGAAGGGGGCGGGGAGCGCAGAAATGATAACTCGGTTGTGGTTGAGACTGTGACCGGTTCCTCGGAGCAGTGGCGAGAGCTTGGTGTTGTAGCTTGTTGAGGAGAAAACGCGGAACTGACTGGGTCCGGATGGCACCCCGATATTTATTTACTTTCATTAGAGTGAGAAAACCTCGTTGCCTCTCGCTCTAATGAAACAGCAAATCTATTGCCCTCTCTTTCTAATTTAGACCCCCCCTGGGCGGCAATACCGTATAGAGAGCCTGTTTTTTATCTATTCGGTGACCTATTTTTTAACTATGACCTTGACCTAATTCTTATCGGATTCTAATTAGCTCTTCCACTATTCTTCGGAATCTATGTTATTTATTTTCAGACAAATTACTTCTTACTATTCGATAGGTAAATAAAGGTACACAGGTACAGGGTTAATTACTAATTAAGAATTTGTACACGAAATAGGGCTCATTTGGCCACACGATTTTACATTAATTGCCTTTATGGCTAATTAAGATTATCACCAATTAAAAGTAAATAACTATAAGGCTCTACACATAATTATCTATCTAATATACATACTATAAATACGACTCGACATACATAACTATGCGAAATTACAGGTTTAATCGATATACATAAAACAAAGGGCTATCAAATTATACATTTCTATGGTTTTCCAAAATAAACTATGATTTATACATCTCCAATATTACATACGTCTATTAATTAGTAATTAATTAGAGACTTTACACATTAACTGAGAACTAATTGCGAACCAACAAAGAGAAAGTGGACTGTATTACGAAGTTATCGACATTTAAACTATACAAACTATCAAACGAAATAAAAATGAAACAACTATGAAACAACTATGAAACAACTATGAAACAAAAACGAAACAATTATTTACAGCTATTTAAGTTTCTGTTCGGGGCCGTCCGTCGTGCACAGAATTTATTCCAACTTCTTCACCTAGGTGAACAGAAACAAATCTTTGCTTTTTCTCATAAAACCTTATTCTTCCCAGGGTCATCATCAGACGAAGACGAAGGCGTTCAACCCCATGAAAAGGCCATCGCAGCGGGTCAACCCAACCCACCATACTGCGTCAGGAACGTGGAACAGCACGCCTTCGGGCGGAGGGAGATAGAGATAGCGGAGCAGGAGATGCCGGGGATCATGGCGCTGCGGGCGCGCGCCAAGGACGACAAGCCGCTCAAGGACGCCAAGGTAGGGCAGTGTAGGACGACCCCCAGCTACAAGGACGACAAGCCGCTCAAGGACGCCAAGGTAGGGCAGTGTAGGACGACCCCCAGCTACAAGGACGACAAGCCGCTCAAGGACGCCAAGGTAGGGCCCCCCCCCCCCCCCCAGTAAAGTGTGTAGGAGGACCCTCCAGTAACTTAATGAATGACGACCCCCCAGTAACTTAATGAAGGACGACCCCCTGTAACTTAGTGTAGGACGACCCCCCAGTAACTTTATGAAGGACGACCCCCTGTAACTTAGTCTAGGACGACAAGCCGCTCAAGGACGCCAAGGTAGGGCGTGCAAAATATCCGGCTCAAAGGACCATTCTTGATTGTTTCCACGACACTGGTAGATAAAACGCTAGCTTACTATTTTGTTGAATTGAATGTCGATTGTCATTTTATGGATTTGGGCAGGAAAAAATCTCGACACCGCGGTTAAGGAAAATACTTATTTTAGCCTAGGCGCAGACCACCGATTTTTTTGGCCGATAGTTGGTTGCGTCCTGCTGTTGATCAGTATGGAGTTATGGAGATGTATGGAAGTGCGTATTGGCCGATTCTTCATACAAATTAGAATCGGGCCCAACTATCGGCCAACTAAAAATCGATGGTCTGCGCCTAGTCTTAACTGAAGAATAAACTTGTCATTTTGACTTATTTCCCATACTGAAACTGTCAATGTGCCAAACTTATTCTTTAATTAAAAGTTACCCGACGATGGTAAGCCCTAAGAAGATTGTATAATAGCAATACAATCTTAGTTGGGACAAGATGGCCCAGTGCAAAATGTCAAAGACTATAAATTATATTATTTTATCTTTTCAGATCGTAGGCTGCACGCACATCAACGCTCAAACCGCCGTGTTGATAGAAACCCTCGCAGCCTTAGGCGCCACCGTCCGCTGGGCGGCCTGCAACATCTACAGCACCCAGAACGAGGTCGCCGCCGCTTTGGCACATGCGGGTAAGATACAAAAAGAGTTTAAGGCCGGGTAGCAGAGAAAATGGCGAAAATGAGGTTTTCATTTTTCATTTTTGAGGTACTAAACAGTAAAATTAAAGGCTAAGATTTTTATTGGGCATAGTTGAGGATATTTTCTAGGGCTATTAACGGATGGAAACACGATTTGATGAAGTTGACTCGATAGAATATATTCCCAAAGTTACCTCTATTCGTTTTCTATTTATGGTTTTATTTTTAAAATAAGCGATTTGAGATTCTAAATCTTTTACTAAACTAAAGTTCAGAAATAACTTGAGGGCTTTTAACGGATGAAATTTTTATATTGCGTTTTATTTAGTTACTATGTTAAAAAATGTGGAAAAAATCGTCCATGACGGCTTGGACAATCTCAATCAGTCGCGCGGTGGCGCTTACGGAGGACGGACGCGTGTCAGTTTTTTAGCCGTGACAGTTCGCGATTTGTCAATATTTTTGACAATGATGACTTTGATGAGTCACAGTATAATAATATCAGTGTTACTGGAGAAAGCCCCCCCCCCCCCCCCCGTATAAAGGTTACTTTTTTTTATAATTCTGGTAATTTCTGACTAGACCCGACTGGCAACACTGGATTGGTTTAAAAAAATAAAGAGCAACAATGGCGGCGTGTCCACATTAAAATTTGTGAAAATTCTCTAAAATTTATGATAAAACTGTTATCACAAGTAATTTAAGCCTGCACAGTGTAATGTTAATCCTTAAGAATGTCGGGGGAGAGTTGGAAACTTGAGCAGAATTTGTGTCGCTGCTGCCACAGCGAGGGCGCGCATAAAAACTTGTCCGAGGCTTGTATTGACGGGGAAGACGAAATTTTATCAGACATGTTACACGATACGCTAGATATTACTGTAAGTCCGTAATTTCTTTCATTATACTGTATTAGAATTCTTTTAAAATGCTATTGTTCGCTCTTGCTTTGTGTATCAACATTACTTACTTGTTCTGCAATTCCTCTGCTCTTGAATTGATTTTTTTTTAATAAGACACCTCTAGTTAACCTCAGTATTGACTAAAATCATCCAAGTACACAAATGGTCTATTTGGGGTGGGGGCTACAACACTATTCTTAGATGGGCACAGCCCACTCGGCCCCCTATAATAAATATGCCTATGCAGTCTTCACTAGTTTTTGATCCAGGGCTTCCATATAATGTATTATGTTACAGTGCATTTACTTTTACATTCTTCCTAGTGACCAGCCCTGGCTTCGCACGCAATGATGATACTAAATGTTTTGTTAGTTGGGTCTGATTCTAATTTGCATGAAGAATCGGCTGATACCAAATCTGTACTTTCGTACATGTCCACACTGATTAACAACCCGATCCAACTATCAGCCAACCAAGTTGGTGGTCTGCGCCTAGGCTTAAACATCTAAACATACATAGGGACAGACAGCGGAAAGCAACTTATTTTATACAATGTAATGTTTGGTGTTCCAGATAAACCCGGTCACGGGCCCTCTCGGCCTGGTCACGTACACGATATGCGAGCCGTGCATGATGCGGTTGCAGGACGCGTGGAGCTTCAAGCAGCAAGTGGTGGACTGCGAACGACGCTTCCACGAATTATACAGTAGAAACGCTTTGAAAAGTATGTAACACATTTTTTTTATAAATAAAATTTTCACTATATTTATGTAACATCTTTATTGCACACTAAAAAAAAGAAGTGGTACAAAAGTCGAACTTAATGTCATGTGGCATTCTCTACCAGCTAACCTTAGGCAAAACAGAGAATTTGAGTAGGCGGTGCAAAATAGTGCTCATACATTCAAAACTAGCAATTTTTCTCCTTTCCTATTCTTCAACAGCATCACGGAACAGATTTGCTCATAGCCTTGGGACTGATTGCAAATGAACAAGCAAAAAAAATGTTTCTTAACTAACCTACTATAGCAAATTATAAATAACTTGAAAAAATCGAACTACTTAAGGCGGGAATCGAACCCACAATTGCCCCGTGACTGCTCTTCCATCTGAGTTACTTAGACACTGGATGAAGCAGTCGAAATTTTCAATTGTAACAGCAATCGCTCGGCAAGGCAATTCGATTTTTTTCAAGTTATTTATAATTTAGTTTGAATAGCAACTCTAAATGCTAAGAAATTTTAATAAAATATACCAACACAAACATACATAACATAGCATTTCTTTGTTACAGTGGATCCGGACAATGTCATCGTAGTAGATGTGAAGCAGGAAGTCGATGTGCCTATTGTTGTCAAGACCAGTCCAAACGAAGGTCTGTAATTATATCAACCAATGGACGTAGTGTGAGTTTACATCAAAACGCATTTGACCAATGTCAATCAATACTGCGTTAAAAATATGTATGAAAATTTTAGTTCTTGATAGTTTCCACTAGGAGCGTACAATCTTTCATACATTCAATGACACTTTTACGTGCTCGTTAGTTACGACGTTTGATGTAAACTCACACTAAGGCTAAGAAGAACTCACGGCGCGATTTTCACGGCCCGCAGCTTCTGTAGAAGGCAGATACTCATGAAAAAACTAGCACAACTCGCGCCGTGAGTTCTTAGCGTAACTGTAACCGCTCCCGTGAGTTTTGAAATAAAACCGCAATTCCACAACCGCCGCGGACGCGGGTGAAAATCGCGCCGGGAGTTCTTAGCCTAAGGGCCACACTAGCGATTTGCAAGCAGAGTGGTCGACAAAACGCTGCCGCTCCTCCGTGTTGAAACCGCTTGTAACTCGCCAGTGTAGCAAGGCTCTAAAGCCCTCATCATCGTCATTTCAGCGACAGGACGTCCACTGCTGGACATAGGCCTCCCCCCAATCATTTCCAGATTTACTGGATGGTAGTGACTTACATCCAGCGCTTTCCTGCTGCCTTTATGAGATAAAAACAGTATTATAATACCTTATAAATGATAAATAAACAACTTGAAAAAATCGAACTAGTTCATGACTATTCATTAGTCCGTCTTGTGGGTGGACGTCCTACACGTCATACATTACTTATTAAAATTGATAAAATATTCATATGTCCATCTCATTAAAATAGTTGATGATTGATGATAAATAATGATAATTGACTCCTTTAAGCAATTAAATTATATTTTTTTCATTCTACAGGTGTCAAAGAAGAAAGGCTACACAGTGACGATGACGATTTCCTACCAGTTGGTCAGTATTTATTGTTCTTTATTAATACCTTGATTTATTTCTATCCCAACTAATATTATAAATGCGAAAGTAACTCTGTCTGTCTGTCTGTTACGCTTTCCCGCTTAAACCTCGCAACCGATTTTGATGAAATTTGGCATAGAGATAGTTTGAGTCCCGGGAAAGAACATAGGATAGTTTTTATCCCGGTTTTTGAAACAGGGACGCGCGCGATAAAGTTTTTCTGTGACAGACAAAATTCCACGCGGGCGAAGCCGCGGGCGGAAAGCTAGTTAAATAAATATATTATTATGATAATAATATGATTCTTTGACAGATTAAACCAAAATATGTAATAGAATCTTGCTTATCCTATTAACCGTGTGTTTTCAGTAGAGTCTGTTTCCCTACTCTTGCCGTGGAAGTCGTAAATATGAAGCGATTAAGCGTGATACGAGGGCTGCACTAAAAGTATCGGGAATGTAATATTTCCACTGTTCCAGTCATATTAAAATCTATTTAATTGCAAACTCCAGGGTTTTAAAAATCGTATACCATTTATTTATTTAAAAACTAGCTGACCCGGCGAACTTCGTACCGCCTTAGCGTAGAGATTTTCTTAATATTTTTTTCCGTAAGAACCATCTTTGGACTTCCACAAACATTTAAAAAAAAGAATTATCGAAATCGGTTCAGCCGTTCACACGTGATGCCGTGACAACGCGAAACGGGTTTCATTTTTATATATAAAAAAAGAAAAAAGATTCTCGGTCGTATCACAAGGTCTTGTCAAACTTGTTTAGTCGTTGAGAAAATGGAATTGACTCGAGAAAATTCAAGAGCGATGATTTATTATGACTTTTGAAGTGGTTTAACACAAAAACAGTGTGTTGACCGGATGATTTCTGCATTTGGTAATGAAGCCCCATCCAAATCCACAATTTATCGCTGGTTTCCTGAATTTCAACGTGGACGTGTCAAGCTCAGTGATGATCCCCGTCAAGGTCGTCCAAAAACTGCAGTCACCTAAGAAAACGTTGATGCTGTGCGTAAGCTGATTGAAGAAGATCGACATGTGATATACCGCGAAATTCAGGCAACTTTAGACATTGGCATGAGTCAAATACAAATAATCTTGCATGAACAATTAGGTGTAAAAAAGTTGTTTTCCCGATGGATACCGCATTCGCTCTGTGAAGAGCAAAAAGCGGCTCGCGTTACTTGGTGCGTCAGAACTCTCGGGAGATTACATGCAGGATCCTCAAATGCTGTATACAACATCGTATCAGGTGACGAATCATGGATATACGCGTACGAACCCGAAAAAAAAAACCAGTTACGAGTTTGGGTGTTCGAAAATGAATTAAAGCCAACAAAAATAGTTCGTTCACGGAGTGTTGCAAAAAAAATGGTGGCTACGTTTGTCTCCAAAACCGGCCATGTTGCGACTATTCCTCTTGGGGGACAAAGAACGGTTAATGCAGATTAGTATGCTAGCATTTGTTTGCCACAGGTCGTTTCTGAACTCCGTAAAGAGAACTGCAACCGCCGCATCATCCTCTATCACGACAATGCGAGTTCTCACACCGCGCACTGAACAAAAGGGTTTTTAGACCAAGAAAACATAGAATTATTAGTCCATCCGCCGTACAGCCCCGACCTAAGCCCTAATGATTTCTATACTTTCCCTAAAATAAAGAATAAATTGCGTGGTCAGAGATTTTCATCACCTGAAAAAGCTGTGGAAGCCTACAAAACGGCCATTTTGGAGACCCAAACTTCCGAATGCAATGGTTGCTTCAATGATTGGTTTCGTGTATGGAAAAATGTGTCAAATTTCGCGGAGAATACTTTAAAAAGCAATAAATACATTTTTAAATGGAAATGTTGTTTCACTTCCTTGATTCCCGAAATTTTCAGTGCCGCCCTCGTAAAGTCCGGTCGCCGAGCAGATATAATTTCGTCCAATGACCCCAAGCTACCCATCCTTATCGCTCGCGCGTAATTATATTGCTGTCGCGACTGTGCGACGGGCGGCCGCAGTGAGTGTGCGAGCGCGAATAGCAATTTATTTACGCTCGAGAGCTAAGGATAGGTTGGGGTCAATGGACGAAATTCTATCTGCTCGGCGACCGGACTTTAGAACATAAATGCACAGGTGAAGTGACATTGACAAATGTTAGAATTTTCCATGCACAAAAATATAGGGATAATAATATAGTCCCACGATTCTGAAACGTGAAGTGGCAAAAATCTTAACTGATTTTTTGTCGGCCGATAGTTTAGTCGGGCAGTTAATCAGTATGGGCATGTATGGAAGTGCGCACATTACACCGATTTGGTATCGGCCGATTCTTCATACAAATTAGAATCGGGCCCAACTATCGGCCAACTAAAAGTCGGTGGTCTGCGCCTAACCTTAAACTAAACCCAGTATTGATATTAGGGCCTTCCAGTAATGTCATATTATATGGTTGTCCAACGTGGCCAAAATCGGAACCAGCGATGCGGTATTGACGGTGTCGCCCCCTGTCAATGTCACGGGTGGAACGGTTCAGGACATCCATAGAAAATAGACTTTCTTTCTTATTTAAATTTAATACAGATGACCCACGCTGAACTGTCCCACCAAACTCAATGACAGGGGGGCGCTACCATCGTTCAACTATAATAATATTGTTTCCAACATGGCAAAAATCGGAACCAGCGATCCGGTATAGACGGTGGCGCCCCGCTGTCAATGTCATGCATAGGACAGTTCAGTATTTTGGAACTATACATCGACTTGAAATGTCGCGTAACGTCACTTTTGAGTAGATTTTTTTTTACTCAAAAGTGACGTCACGCGACATTTCAACTCAATATGTCCTGTACTGTAATGATTAGATTATGAAAAAAATACGTGTCCAATATTTTTTTATTATCTGTCTGACGCGACAGAATTTTGATTTCATTACCCAGTCATCATCCCTATTGGCAACATTTGTAACTTCGGACAAAGTTTTCCGAAATAAAAACTAGATTAGATACAGACTCTTCTAAAAAGCAAATCCCTTTACAGACGACGTCCAATCTGACATATCCGACCAAGAACAGACCAAAAAGAAGCGCAAGCCCCGCGGCCGGCCCAAAGCCCCGCCCAAGATCAAAAGAACGCCCCGCCACGCCCAGAACAAGACGCAGAAGGTGGACGACTCGACGGCGGACGACGGGAAGGAGAAGAAAGGTAGGTGTCTTGATTACACTGAAAAGTTCGCGCGTGGAGTTTCGGGGTGTTTGATGAGAGCTGAACGTTCTATGGTTCAATTTTGAGTATTTTTTTTAGTCAAAATAGGGAATATGCATGTTTTACATGACGTCACGCTCATCTAATTTCTTTCAACGTTTTTTAAACTCGTGTTATCTTTTCTATTTCTGCCCGGTCGGTGAGCACGTAGAATTTTGTCCAATGACCCCAAGCTGCCCATCCTTATCGCTCGCGCGTAATTATATTGCTGTCGCGACTGTGCGACGGGCGCCCGCAGTGAGTGTGCGAGCGCGACATCTACATAATTACGCGCGAGTGATAAGGATGGGTAGCTTGAGGTCATTGGACAAAATTCTACGTGCTCGCGGACCAGACTATAGTTTTAATTCAGTACTTTTTGTAAAGGTAAGATACCTGTATGCTTTTTTAAAAGTTTTTTTTACATTGTATAATTATTATCTTTTATAAACTATGCATATTCCCTATTGTTTTTTGACACCATTTATCCATAATTCTAAAGCACAACTTCCTAAAAGAATATCATTAGCTTACAGACGAGCTACTGACGTGACGATAATTTGTCGCTGATAGCAGAGTAAATACAAATGAGTAGGTCATCTTCATAGAAACCTACTCATTTGTATTTACTCTGCTGATAGCTAGGAAACGCTCATAAAAGTTTTACTTAGGGCCACATAGCAGGGGAGACAAATGAAAAGTTCATAGGTCAATTCGAGTTAGAAAGCCTTCTCGTTTCATTTTATACGATTAATACAGATTTTAAAGTATTGTGCTCATTATTGAATAACGAACAATCTTTCGGAAAGGATAATAGGATTTCACAGGATATATTTCAGGTTTAAAATTGATATCAAACGTTCAGCTTTCCTCAAAGACCGTCTAATTATATTTTCTTTCAATACAGCTTGTGTAATAATAAGCTTCTATAAATATACACACTTACTTAAAAGCCTGGTCCGTGAGCTCGTAGAATTTTGTCCAATGATCCCAAGCTACCCATCCTTATTGCTCGCGCATAATTATATTGCTGTCGCGACTGTGCGACGGGCGCCTGCAGTGAGTGTGCGAGCGCGATAGTAACATAATTACGCGCGAGCGATAAGGATGGGTAGCTTGGGGTCATTGGACAAAATTCTACGTGCTCACGGACCAGGCTTTAGTCATAAAAACTAGCAAAAGACATGTATACAGACATTCGAAACTCCATGCAGAACCGATTGTATTATGTGCAGATACGAAAATGCATTTGTATTGTCTCTCGATTGATAGAATCGACATTAAAATCATCGATTAAAAAAAAATATCGATGTTATGTAATTTATTGCAAATGACTCGGATACTGATTCAGAGACCTGTATTATCGTCACATTTGTTCTACAAATAAAATTATTTGATTTAAAAAAGTTCTCAAAGATAAATTTTTGGATGACTTAAAAACCTTAAAAAAACACTAACATCGAATTTTGATTTGTTTTAAATTTTTAGTGCATTTTCGTATCTGTGCAATTTGTATTCTATTTTTCTGTGTGATTTTATCTGAATTGACTATTATTCGTATCGTGTGACATTATAACTCTTATGCCATTGGAATATAAACTACTTTACCCTGACATTCGAATCGGCTTAGGCTTTTAAATCTTACGGCGTTAAAAGATGCGTTTTTTTTTTAAACGGCAAATGCGTTAAGTGACAGAATAGAGCGGTTTTTAGCTTAACTGGTACGTTTCTATACACATTTTAATATAATTACAGTATTTATACATTCGTATTTTTTTTCATCTGTGAATATTGTTGCGGCTTGAAATATTAATTTATTTACTACTTTTTGCGATAATTACTCTTACTTTTGTTTATTATGAATTCTCTAGGGAATTTTTGAGACCATCTTTTTCTTAAACCTTACAATATTAGCCCATATCCTTACCATTTTTAACGGAATTTTTTCCCACCACGTTTTAACCTTACTACCTTGTATTAAGGTCCAAAAACGATAACATTTTGATGGCGTGTACGCCAAAAAACCTATTGAACATACAAGTGACTTAACCGCCCTGTTTAAAATGCCCAAAACGACCACCCCGTCACTGGCACGCCCCAAAAGAACATTCAAGAGAAACCAAGAAGCAAACTGAAATGTTTATTTTGTTCTTCTAGACGGTAAAGCTGCCAAGTTCCGCCTCAACGACGGGGACTATACTCGGGACGGGGATATATACCAATGCGGCCGCTGTGATAAGCGTTACGACAAATTTTTCTCGCTTAAGTTTCACGTGAAGACAAAACACTATCACATAGCGAGGTACCCGTGCCCGTTCTGCGAGGAGCAGTTCATGACGCCCGCGCCTCTCACAAAGCACAAGCTAAAAGTACACAATGTGGACGACAGAATCAGTTGCAACGCTTGCAAAGGGATATTCAACTCTAAAGTGCAGCTGCGAAAGCATATCAACAATTTCCACATGATGGGCGAACGGTATAAGTGCGAGTCTTGCGACTACGAATCATTCAGCTTCGAAGGTATGTACAAGCATAAGTTCAAACACAAGACGGTCAAGGATTTCCATTGCCGGTTTTGTAGGAAGGCGTTCTTGAGGAAGACGACTCTGGATCTGCATGAGAGGATACATACTGGAGACAGGAGGAAGGTGTGTGCTGTGTGCAGCAAGGCATTCGTTCAGAAGGCCAGTCTGAACTATCACATGACTAAGTACCATCCAGAGGTCAATTATTAGTGCCAGTGACGTTAGTGGGATGTGTCGTTTTTTACGTGAACAGCACATTTTTTTTGTATTTATTGTTAAAATGTTAATTTTACATGATCTATACTTAAAATTGTTTAATCATACGTCTTCATGTGCAATAGAATTTAAGCTAAATTTGATCTTATTACATGTTAAACTTACATATCAATGAGAGAAGAGGCAGGCACGCCCCGTAAGTGTGAATACGCCATTATGTGTGCGTCATGACGTCATATTATGTCAAGGAAAGAATTGGCTACGTTCGTCAACAACCGAGTCATTTCTTACGTAATTAAAAAGTAATTTTGTTATAACAGAGACCGTAATATTTTTACATAAAGTATATTTATGTCAATCTTTATTTAAAGCGTGATACGTAACAAAACGTTAGCAGAATGGGTCGGGTGTATGTACCCTACTATTCCCACCTCTCGTTCCCACCGCTGCAACTCCTGTGTAGCCAGGATTTACAGCTTGACCGCCAATAAAAACCCAACCAATGAAGGTCAAGTTTGTCATAGGGGAAACTTAAAATTAGTATAGTATGGTCGGTTAACTTATAGTCAATACTTCTCTGCAATCATCCAGTAAAGCCTTAAAAAATATATTTGTGCAAGTGTCATTGCTCTTCTTAATTTCGTTGCGGGTCCAATGCCAGTTTAACTTTCCACCGGGACAAACTTGGTCTTCACTGGTTGGGTTATGGCGGTCAAGCTGTAGATCCTGGCTACACAGGAGTTGCAGCGGTGGGGACGAAAGGTGGCCACCTGACCAATGTCGCATTTTGCCAAATTGCCATGCACGATGTTTTAGTACATTGTTTTTATACTTTTTATTTCAATTGTTGAATAATAATAGTCTTGTGTACTGTTGTTTGAAATGGTTATTACTCTTTTACAATATGAACTTTTTTACTTGTAAGAATATTTTTTTCTTTCTAACATACAATCAAGAATCTTGTTTTTTTTTGCGAAACATAGGTAGCAATTACAATACAATACAAATTGCTAATAATCATTAAAAAATAAAATAAAAAAAATTGCCAGAAATCGTAGTAGAAAAAAGTGACCGTATTTTGCAGTCAGATCAGTATATTTATTTTATTTATTCTGGACTTCTTAAAAACCCGCATTTTTGTATAACTTGAAATATAGGAGAAATGAATCTATGACCATTGCTTACCTAAACTAGGAAACCTAACTGTTGTATTTAGAAGATATGGGGAATATTTTTATGCACATAGTTATTATTCATATTGTAATATTAATTAAATATAAATAACTATTATTTTAGAAATATCACAGGTTACATTTATGAATTACCTTCCATTATTTTTATTTTTTACTGTAAATCGTTTTTCCTTATACATACATAGTACTATGCGTAGTACATACTCATATAGTTATATTTGTTTTTATACAACAAAGCAGCCGTGTTTAAGACTGTTGTAATGTAATATAGTTATAGTAATATAACGTGTTGTAAAATGAAAATTAAAGTAATTATTACATGATTTGTTTATTTCATTTGATATTTTGCTAAGCTCTACGAAATGATATTTCGCCCAATACCTCCTGAATTTTGTCGGTTTAGTTTAAGTGTGGAACAGAAACAAACATCCATTCTCACAATATAATATTAGTAGGAAGGATATAGACGTGTTCAAAATGTATCAAAGTATCTTTAAATTTACTTTAACTGAAGAACGCAATAAAAATAGTCAACTACGTAAATTACATGGCGTGTGTGTGTGTGATTCAGGTATATCCAAAGAAAGCAATTAAAGATGAACATATTTATTCAACGAAATCAAAATCAATAACGCGACCTGTAAATCAACACATTCCACTTAATCACAACAACTATGAACTCGTGAATCTGTAAAATATACTCATATAGCCCGGACGAAGAAAGTGACGGCCATCTTTCTTCTACAGGGAACAGGAAACGCCCGGACTATTACAGCGTAGCGAACGAGCGTTACACATGCAACCTCTGCGAGCGAACGTTCGCGTCGCAACCGCTCGTCTCGCAACACCACCGCTACGTTCACTTAAAACGGCGTCCGAGAGAGCGGAAATGTCCCCACTGTCCTCAAAAAGTCCCAGGGTACCTCCGTGCGTACCATTTGGAAGAAATCCATGGAATTCCAGCTCCATCTTGTGGGGTTTGTCAGAAAAGGTTCAGGTTCCCATGTGAGGTGCTAAATCATCAGAG